TAAAAAGTCTAAAAAGTCAAAAACAAATTTCTCAAAGATGGTTTCTCCCAGGGGCGTCAGCTGCACTGTGAAACATTTGGGGCTGAGTCCAGAGTGTCCGGGCTCATTAATGTTAATTTGGATTCATGCACACACAGACACACACACACACACACACACACACATAGATGAGCATCCTGGAGCTCAAGGTGACTATGACATGTTGGTGCTTTCAATTAAAAAGCTTCAGTCATTATCAAAGCATCGATAGTTACAGAATCTGTTGATGCTGAAGTTACGACAGATCTTAACCCTCAGAATAAAAGGCGTCTCTCTCTGTTTACCTTCGGCCTCTTCTCACCACAAACAGCAGAAAGACAAACAGCTGACTATGCAGGGAGGATGAGGAGCTAGGAGGGCCACGATTGGCCGCTGAGCACCCCACCCATTTTAAACTCTTCAAGAAAGCATGGCTGCCAGCTGACTGATGCAGGGGGAGAAGACTGCAGCCACACTGCAGCCACACTGCAGACTGGGTCCATTATGAAGTGTGTGTGAGGTATTTTGTGAAGTGGTTGTGTTCTCAAGCATTGAACTACAGCAGGTTCATCGCTCCATTAGGTCCCCTAGACACATTTCCTGTGTCGTTTTCTGCAATTTGCAACACGTTTCTTTATTTTTGCATGTGTTGTGACTTTTCGCACAACATGTGTCGTCAGATTGATGAAGTTGTTTTCTTTATGTCCACGTGTTTTTCTCTATTTGCAGTGTGTTGAGATCTCTCGGCCACTGATCAATGTGAATGTTGAGAATTCAGATAAAACCATTCAAATAACAGGAAAATTAAAGATTTAACACAAGATGAAAAGTCTGTGATTTAAATCTTCTTATATTCGATTTAACAAGTTCAGTGTCAATTCAGAATCAAACCTCGTCATTGGAAAGCTTTTTGTAATCAGTCTGTGGTGCAGAGGGAAGTTAGAAAACTTTGTGTTCATCATACCTGGTTTATCTGCACTGAAGATTCTATAGTCTATTGAAACTGAATTACATGAGGACTATTTCAGGATCAGATGTTTTTTTTGTTTGAGGCCAAATCTCAAGGCACTTTACACATTAAGGTCGAGACTTTACAAAGTTAAACTCAGCAGTTCCCACAATGAGCAAAACTCCCCTTTAAACTCCTGCACCTGCCTTGACCGGTTGGAGTAAATGTGAGGAAGGAGAGGAGGGTGGAAAAGAGGAGAGAGAAAGACTGTTGTGTTCGGTTTTAAACTTGTGAAACTTAATCTGACCCCAGAATCAGCAGCTGCAGATGTGCTCTCCAGGAACAACACAATGCCACAGACGCACGGACACACACTCCCCCCTTCCTCCTCACCTTTCTTGAACTCCTCCAGCATGGCGTCCAGTTTGGTGTCGTTGAAGACGCAGTGCAGCGGGAGTTTGTAGAACTGGGTGATGGTCTTCAGCGGGGTGCAGTCATCCGGGTCCACGAACGCCAGGTCCTTGACGAACAGGATGTCCACGATGTTGGAGCGCTCGTTCTCAAACACCGGAATCCTCGTGTACCCGCTCTGCATGATCTCCGACATGGTGTTGAAGTCCAGCACCGCGTCCGAGGTCAGCATGAAGCAGTCGGTCAGCGGCGTCAGGACGTCCTCCACGGTCTTGGTGCGCAGCTCCAGCGCGCCCTGGATGATGTTGAGCTCCTCCTTGACCAGGTCGTGGTACGGGTCCGTGACGCGCAGCATCTCCAGGAGTTTCTCTCTGGTGTAGAAGTTGGAGATCTCCTGGTTGAGGATGAGGTCCAGCAGTTTGCTGATGGGGTAGGAGATGGGGAAGGAGAGTACCATCAGCAGCCGCGTCACCCAGATGGTTTTGGAGGCGATGGCGAGGCCGTGCCGCGACGCCACCGAGTGTGGAAGGATCTCCCCGATGAAGAAGATGCCGAAGGCGCAGATGACCGTGGAGAGCCAGGTCATGCCCAGGATCTGACACATCCACACGGCGAGCGAGGCGTTAATGATCGCGTTCCCCAGCAGTAAAGTGCAGAGCACGTAGTTGCCGTGCCGACGCACAGACTCGATCTTCCGCGCGTAATTCTGCTCCTTGTCGGTGCCACTGTTCTGCAGAACCTGCAGCTCCACTGGGTCCAGCGCCAACAGGCTCAGGTTCAACCCGCTGAACAAGGCGGACAGCCCGAGCAGCAGGACTGACACCAGCACCTGGAGCCAGAGCTCCGGGGCTGCGGAGCGCTCCACCACGGCCACCCAGAAATCCCGCGTCCGGTAATGTTCCCATTTGGACCCGTCGAAGGCGCACATCGAGTAGTACTTTATCTTCTCACCCCTACGCAGGTCTTTGGCCAGCAGCTCCACCAGCACCGAGTTCTGGCTTGAAGCGGACTTGAAGGAGCCCAGAACCTCGATGTCGGACGTCCTGGCGTTCTTGTCCATGCACATGTTCCGCTTCGGGTGAACTTGTCCCTCTCGCCCGGGACTTGGCTCCTCGATGAAGGCGATCCATGGCGCGGCGTTGTTGGTGCGAGTCGCCGCGGTGCGGTTGAGCCTCTGCGCGGAGGTGGAGTAGTAAACCCGCAGCATGAAGCGCGTCCCCTCGGTGGCTTTCAGCACCCCGTCCTCCACGGACAGCTCCGCCCCGGTCTCCTCCGGCCGAAACCCGAGGAGGCCGAGCGCCGGGGCGGGGAGCAGGGAGGCGGACAGGCCGAGCAGCAGCAGCCGGGCTGGAGAGAGCGGAGCCCCGCGGGGAGGCAGGGCTCCGGGTCGGTACCGCGCGGCCGCATCCTCCGCAGCCATGATGCGGTGTGAGACGCTCCGTTAGTCCGGGGCTCCCGGGTCACGTGTCGCTGCGCGGTTCCGCTCCATGTGGGAGAAGGAGGGATTGTGATGTTCGGCTGTGAGGAGACAGACATGCGCCCTCCACTGACGTAACTTTCTAATAATAACCTGGAGCTCACGATGCAGCAGCAGATCAGCATCAGGATCATTATCACTTTAAAATCAGTCTGGAGCCATAAAGACTGAATTAGATACGATGTTAAGATGTTAAATAAAAAAGCTGTTGAGTATTTTTGTAAATCCACAACTGTAGCTGTTATATTCTTAAAAATAGAAGCTTCTACAAATCAAATCAGATACACTTTATTGTCCCCATGGGGAGTTTATCCTTGGGCCAAAGTGCAACAGCAGCTGCAGAAAAGTACATTGTGCAACAAGCAAGAAGAAACAGGACACAAGGACAAACAGTGGGACGTTGTGATGTGGACGATACAAGTTTGGTGTGAACAGAAGACACTAAAGTCGTTTCTCACACTGTTAAAAGAAGAAGTTCAGAGTTTGTACCAAAAGTTACTTCTTTTTTTTAAGTTTAATCTTCAACATCTTGACTCAGCATGCATGTAAGTTTAAAGAGGAAGGAAGTTGGTGTATTTTTTATCAGTTTGACCTCTTCTTGTTCTTATAGATTCCGTCTTTACTCTCAGACTCTCCTGTGTTGTAGGTAGACGTGTCTGTGATGTGACTGAGTTTCTTGTGCACATTATTTATCTGTGGACGTTTGAATAGTTTGAAGTCACAGATGAGAGCAGCAGCTACTATGAGTGGAACTGCAGCAGCGAGTGGATTTGTT